TGAGAGAACCACACAAAAACAAAGAAGCCTTGGCTCCATGAATATTTATTAATGGGAGATAGTGGAGCAGAGTAAAAAAAGACAGACTAATAGGTGGATGAGGAAGAGAGATAAGAAAGAGAATGATATAAAGACTGATGGAGGAGAAAACCAACAGAGTGTTAGTGAAGCAGGCCCACAGCACTGCACGAGCCCTGGAGGAAATCTGCCATTAAAATTCTGTTAATGCACGTTTGTTTGGCTGTGAAAAGGATGCTTCTGGTGCAGCGGTGAGGAGACGAGCCTCCCCTGTTATCCACGTCCAGGAGCCACCACTGATTGGCAGCTCAGCAGCTCTGGTGATTTTGAGACCCTCGGGCCTCAGTGGCGGTCTCCATCATTATGCCGAAGGCACAATCATTTCTGGATGCTGATTAAAACGTTGGCGAGGTTAAAGCTGAAGGTTAAACCACAAAGGGCTCCGTGTGAAGTCGGTTAACATCACTTCCCCTCCCACTCCTCCACACAGTAACAACCAAGACTTTTATTACAGAGAGAGGAAGCTTGTCAGAATGTTTCAGTACTTTGATACCTTTCGATTTCCATGTTTTTTAAAACAATACTATCTGTTATTTTACTGAATTACAGAATTAATGAAGTAATGAAATTACTGACATGTTACCCAAGCATTGCCAACATATTTGGGCAATTAAGACACTGTGAAGGAGTTTGTCTGCAACTTTTGATAATTAAAAAACAAGAAATAGCTATAATTGGGTGTCCAGGACTTCTATTTTTGTTGCCATGGTATCCATATCATTTAATTTTAACTGGATCATATTGAAGTTTAGACTCAGGTATCGTGACGACCCTCACAGAGCGATAAAGAAACTCTGAATATGGCTGTGACGGACTGGATTCTTCAGCTGTTAATGCCCTCAGTTTAAACTACTTTTTCTATATTACAATTCGCCCACTCGTTGTGTCGGTGTGGACATGAGATTACAAGACAAGGACACTGAAATTTTGACACCTACCGTTGATTGTCTGTTTAACAGTCTGAAGTTTGGCATCACTATCTTGTTTATTTTTGGAGCCAGAAGAGACTTGGATAAAAAGGTAGAGTTGGAGAGGAACAATGGGTTGGCAAACACTGAAATTATTGAAATGATCTGTTATGGCCAAGGCTGAAATTCAATATGTGGTGCTAGCTGACCAGATATGTTTTTTAACCAATATTAAAAATGTAAGCTTGTAGACATTTCTCTACATACTAAGAAAAAGAACAACAGATAATCGTCTAAAATCATGACTCCAAGCAAACACTAAACAAGCTAGCTATGGTTCTCTTAGACTCAGATAGCTGCTAATTGTTGCTAACATGTAAATGAAACAAAGTTCTAATATGACTGGTTGTAAAGTTTGGAGTTCAGACCTGTTGGACGGTCTGTTAGTACAATAAAGTGCAAACAGGTCTGAATCAGCTGAGTTGACACCTAGCACATAGCTCCCACCTTCACTCAAAGAGGTCATGCCCCCTTATTCTACACCCCTTTAAGTCTTAATATAATGTAAACAGGTTGTATAAACATTCAGCCCGTACAGTCGAAGAGAGAAATGAGCTCTAGAGACCCAAACTGTTTTTATACCAGACTGTAAACATGTTTATTTTAACATGGAGCTCTATGGGGACTAACTCACTGCAGGAGACAGACTCTAGTGGACACTGGAGGAACTGCAGCTGTAAATATGGACATTTTAACATGGATCTCTATGGGGACTGACTCACTGCAGGAGACAGACTCTAGTGGACACTGGAGGAACTGCAGCTGTAAAGTTAGACATTTTAACATGGGGCTCTATGGGGACTGACTCACTGCAGGAGACAGACTCTAGTGGACACTGGAGGAACTGCAGCTGTAAAGTTGGACATTTTAACATGGGGCTCTATGGGGACTGACTCACTGCAGGAGACAGACTCTAGTGGACACTGGAGGAACTGCAGTTGTAAAGTTGGACATTTTAACATGGAGCTCTATGGGGACTGACTCACTGCAGGAGACAGACTCTAGTGGACACTGGAGGAACTGCAGCTGTAAAGTTAGACATTTTAACATGGGGCTCTATGGGGACTGACTCACTGCAGGAGACAGACTCTAGTGGACACTGGAGGAACTGCAGCTGTAAAGTTGGACATTTTAACATGGGGCTCTATGGGGACTGACTCACTGCAGGAGACAGACTCTAGTGGACACTGGAGGAACTGCAGTTGTAAAGTTGGACATTTTAACATGGAGCTCTATGGGGACTGACTCACTGCAGGAGATAGACTCTAGTGGACACTGGAGCAACTGCAGGTTTTTAAACTTCAATATTAGCTTCATTTTTCAGCCCCAGCTTCTGCTGCTTAGATGGTTTCTGCACATTAAATGGAGACTGTCACAGTTAATTAATTAAAACTGGACTCTATGAGGCTCCAAACAGGGTGTGAAATGAGAAGAATATCTGCTCTGGTTTCTTTAATATACTGTAGCAGTGTTGTTTTAACATGAAAGGCTGTGTTAAGATTAGTTCATGGAAAGTTGTCAGAAATGAGTCATTCAGGGTCAGCTTTCAACATTTTGAACTAAAGTTATTAATAACTCTCAAAGATTATAATGTATTTTAACACCATCAGGCTCACACTCAGACACTGGAGGGTTGAGTGTCAGCTACAACCTACAAATGAAGAAGAAGAGATATTTTTATCCATGCATTTACCAGCCATACAGGTCAAGAGATTAGGTTGTCTTTAAGGCTGAACATCTCTTTTGCCCAGAAGTTTCACACTAGCTATATATGTCTTTCTTTGCACGGTCTGTGGTCAAGCGACGGATGTTTCTCCATCAGGTATTTTTGTGAGTGAAGCCTCCGGGAGCAGGATCAGCACACAGCCTTAAATTTGGAACAAGCAGCAGTTACGTTAGCTTTTAGGGTCAAGGAGAGTTGAATGATTTAAGACTTTCCTCCAAATTATTTAATTAACGGGCGGATCAGGATAAGCCGTGGTGGAGCAGAATGTGCAGGGTGACAGAGACCAGCTGTCGGTCTCCCTAAGATGTCAGTGAACACAACTGTGGGGCTATCTGTGTCATCTCCCTCGTCAACACCTCTCCCTCCATCTTTCCCCTCTCTCTCCATCTTTCCCCTCTCTCTCTCTCTCTCTGCCTGAGGAACAGGCACAGAGATTCCTTTCACCTGGGTCCTGTTAGAAAAAGCAGCTGAATGAAAGGGCACTTTGAAAGGCTCGAACAGTGCCAGTCTGCCTGTCTGCCTCTCAGCATTTTGTCCCAAAATAAACAAACACAGTTCCATTAATCTGCGATGAGTCACGCCTGTTGGAAGTCCGGTTTTTCAGTTTGTATTTCAAGTTGCAGCCAGTGCTGGCACACAATGCTGACTCCTGGTATGCTTTGGAAAGAGCGAGGTTCTCTTTGACAATCAAACACGATTCAGCATCAGATGTCAAACAGGGAGGGACCGAAGCTCGACTCACTAACAATAGGACACCAGAAACACAGGAAGAGACCAGAAACAAATTCAAATTCAAAAAAACTTTATTTGTCCCCGGGGGGCAATTCAAACACAAACACAGAAGCAGACCAGAGACACAGGAACAGACCAGAGACACAGGGACAGACCAGAGACACAGGAACAGACCAGAAACACAGGAACAGACCAGAGACACAGGAACAGACCAGAGACACAGGAACAGACCAGAGACACAGGAACAGACCAGAGACACAGACCAGAGACACAGGAACAGACTGGAGACACAGGAACAGACTGGAGACACAGGAACAGACCAGAGACACAGGAACAGACCAGAGACACAGACCAGAAACACAGGAACAGACCAGAGACACATAGAAAAAAAGAAAGAGGAAGAGGAGTAAGTGTGGGGACTCTGTCGGACATGATGGTGACGAACGCTGGTTGGAGTGGCCGCCGATAGAGTTTCGCCTCGGGCCCCACCAGACTGTAGAATCGCTTCTCTTACAGTACCTGATTTACTCAGAGCTTTATGTGGGGAAATATGCAGTTTTTTTTTTTTTAAATGGATCAGGGTTGCATCGTACAATCATGAGCATGTGAGATATCATATTTCATCAGTTTAAGGATGTGATGACCCGAAGAAGGTTTAGAGTCACATGGTTTTGGTTGAATTGTTTCCTTTTATGGACCAAGGACACTTTTGATGAACGAAACATCAACAAACTCATGAGGTAGTTTTAAAATGTCTGGTAGCTTCATCTCTGAGTCATGTTGTTTCCTGTTGTTAAAAGTTCTTGAAAAAGCGTCGAACTATCCAAAGTCGTCCGTATTCCTGCGAGCTCTTTCTGCTGCTGGAGGATCATAAATTAATTTAACAGGTAGAAATCCCCTCAATGCTCGTTGAGCCGCCGCACCAAATGAATTTGCTGAGTTTATTGTTAAATGGAGGTTCTGGTGAGCCGGATGTGAGGGAGGATTTAGTGCACCTTCAGGGAGCCCCTCTTCCCAAACTGGAAATATGCTTCTGAGATCTCATCTCATATTAATTTGTCATAGTGAACGCAGCTCCACGTCGCCCTCTGGCTAACACTGAGCTATTCAGAGCTGCCAGCCTGCTCACTTTCATTCTCCCTCTGCTGGTTTCGCTTTTTAACTCGGCTTGTTTTCCTCCTCTCCCTCCTGATCCTCCTGGCCCGGCAACTCTGACCTTACCACAATTACGCGTCCTCCTGCGGGACAATTAAAACGGAGCTACCTTCGCGAGTGCACGGGGGGGGAGGAAATAATGATGCCACATTTGTTCTCCTCCTTTTGAACTCGCTCCCCTTGAAGTCAGAGTATTTCAGAGTGTAGAACGCCACTGTTACTCAAGGACGCGCTGTCCTTCAGGCACTTTGTCCAACATTATAAAAGCTTCCTGTGTTTCCAGGAAAATTCACTCACAATGACATGTTTGTCCCTTTTTGTGTCCCCCCCCCCCATGACAGGTGCAAGTGCAACCTTCACGCCAACAGCTGTGTGTTCGACAAAGAGAAGCTGAGCTGTGAGTGTGAACACAACACCACGGGGCCCGACTGCGGCCGCTGCAAGAGGAACTACCAGGGACGAGCATGGAGCGCCGGCTCCTACCTGCCCATCCCCAAGGGCACGGCCAATACCTGTGAGTACACACACACTCACTCACACACACACACACACACACACACACACACACACACACACGGGTCAGAGGGATGGGAAGCTGTCTGAGATTCTGCATGCAGGTGTGAATCAAAGTTAAAGGAGATCTCTTCTGCTGATCCATCTTTGAAATCTTTGAATACATGTTGGATGTCCGTACTAAACCTTGGCAGACTTTTTTGAAGACAGAGTTGTTGGTGTAATCCCGGGACGTGGTTACCCGCTGCTCTGAACGAGACGTTACCAGAACATAGCGAGACTTGGCCTGAACCGGATGTCAGGTTCTGCCGACGAATCACAGCAAAGCATGGAGCAAAGCTGTAGGACACACCCACCCCGGAAGCTCACACAAATGTCCCTGCAACTGCAAACAGAGCTGAACAATCCGAGAACAGTGGGCATGTGTGGAGGCGGGGCCTTAAAGAGGCATCGACTGAAATGAGAGATTTTACTGAGGCCAGTATCAGATAAATGAAGGAGGTTCTTGAGCTACACATCTCACAACGCTGCTCACCAGGTGTCTCAGAGTGACATCATTAATGGTCAAAGTGGGTCTAATAGATCTCCTTTAAAGATTCAAAAGTTGACATTTGATCAGCAGACTCCAGAGTTTGCTCACCGTGTCACAGTTTGGTGTCGGGCTGTGAGGTGACAAAACAACATGAAGCGTTTAAAGTTGATTCTAAATGTTTCAAAGACGAAGAGGACAGCAAGATCTTTATATTTAATCAATTGGAAACACGTTTGACCAGGACATAATTCAGCCCGAGAAAATGACTCCAACAAACTCATCAAACTACACCTTTATTTGGGACGGGCGCCAACACGAGGCAAGACTTTAATAATTGCACGTCCCTTTAAAATAATTTAGAAACGACGCCCTGGGGGTTCTTAAAGATGTGTTGGTCCCCTGATGGAGCCGCTGTGTTTGATGAGCGTGGATGACAGGTTGCATCAGAACTCGGGATCCTCAGCTCACGTCCCTCCTGTCGCACGTCGGCCTAAAGAGTGCCATGATGAGCAGCCCTGGCTTCGCTTCCAGAGCACTGCCATTCATTTAAACGGTCGAGTTTTATCCGCCCTGTCCTTTTATTGCCTCCGCTGTGATTTCTGATTTCTACTCGCCTCTGCTCGAGGAATCCGGGCCACCGGCTGATGACTTATTCTGCCTCCCAGAGGATCCGTGTTATGAGACTGAGGGAGGGCTTGTGAAATGGCCGATCCCAGAGCTCAGATTGACAGCACATTATTAAAAAAGGTGACACACACACACACACACACACACACACACACACACACACACACACACACACACACACACACTCCCTGTGCTCTGTGATGAAAAACAGTCTTAGTATAAAGTGCATTATTATACTTTGTCTTGGAGGGGAACAAATCCATAATGTAATAACGCTGTGAGGAAAGAAATCTATAGGAATGCACGTCAGTCCCCGCTGAACGGAAGAAAGAGTACAAGGCTGACAGGAAACTCACCTTTGTGCTGTTTTTCATCTCTAAAAGTCTCACTCTCTCTCTCTCCCTCGCCATGTTTGCCTCCAAACCAAACGAGCATATGGCCACTCTACAGAAACAAATTTGTCAATGATGAAAATTTAATTAAGATTTAATTTCTTTTTACTACGCCCATCAAGTCGTCTGAAGCGATAAGGGGATCGATGAATCATCATGTGGAGGGGTCGTGGAGTGAGCGAGGGGTTGTTATTCTGTCTTACAGTAGAAGAAGAAGAAGAAGAAGAAGAAGAGGAAGATGACAGAGAAGACGAAGATAGAAAAAGAAGAAGAGGGTTGTAAAAGTGATAATGAAAGAAAAGAATGGCGGCGATAGAAGGAGGGGAAGTGTGCATCACTCTCTGTCACAGCGAATGCAGCCTGCTGGGGTGGTTCTGTCTCTCTCTCTATCCCTCCTCTCCCCCCTCACCCCCCTCATCCGTCTCTCAGCCTCACTCGTTCTCTCCTCAGCCTCTCTCTGTGCAGACAGAAGGAGAGGGATCAGTTTGAGAATTAACCATGGCAGTTCATTTCACTGTAGGGCTCAGGATACTGAGGAAGATAGGAGCCGGCGGGGGGGTGGGGGTGGTGTGTGTGAGTTTGTGAGTGTGTGTTTGTGTGTGTGTGGGGGGGGGGGGTCAGTAATGGGTGGCCTCTGAAAACTTCAAATGTCGGAAATGTTTCCTGAATGTGATATTAAGTCCTTAAATGCCCTTTAAATGGAAACTTAGCTTAGCTTAGCTTTGCTTAGTTTAGCATTAACAACAGGTACACAGCTGCTGTCCAGCTGTCCATTGACCTGACCTTGTTGGTACACTTACTCATTATCAATTATTTAAACCTTATTTTAAACCAGAGTTGAAGACACTCTGGGATATTTTTACTGATCAAAGATGAGCCGTGAATGAAGCAGGTAATTATTTTATATCAAATGTAAGGAAGAGAAATCGTTAGCAGTGAAGGACAGGATGAGATATGTGGAACAGGAGGTCATGACCCTCGTCTACACACCGATATAAACAGTGAAGTTACATAACAGGAGAGGGACCTTGTCTCTGCACACCGACTGTGCTGCGGAATTAAATATCCTCACATCACCTGCAGTCGCTGCTGTGTAACGACGCTCGCGCAGGGTCACATGCCCATCCATCCAGGGGTTCTCTTCTTAAATACTCTCATCAACATGTCTCTTTGAACCAGGTTCATCAGAATACATTAATCAAACACTCGACAACAAAGCTCCTCTTTATTTTCCTGTGAGCATCCAGATAGTTCTCTATAAAGTGAAACTATATTTCATGAACATTAATCGTAGTTGGTTTGAGTCCAACTTTTGCTGTTTACACACAGCTTCACTATTGATAACTGTCCCCAAGATATGTGTATGACCATACACATTCCACTGGTCCTGGATAAGATAACTAATCTTACTCCTCATATCATCCCAACATGTCTGCAGTGTTCTTGGGCAGTCCCAGAAGGTGTGTTTATGGTCACCTGTCATCCCACATCCTGTCCAACACAAAGGTGATGAACCTCCAGCAAACCCAGACACGACTTGAGCTTCGATTCAAACTCGCTCCATGACAGGCGATTGGTGGCTTTCTTCCCCCTCATTTATCCTCAATGACCACATTAGTTTCCAATTCCCGTTTTGCTTTGATGTTTTTCTTTCTTTTCGAGGTGAAGATGAGCTTTCATGGCGTTAAACTTTGTTAATAATTCCTTTCGTCTACATTTTGTCCTAATCGTAGAAACCTTCCAGTGATGAAAGTTTGTTCTGTGTGCAGCTCGATGCAAAGAATAGATTTGTTCTCAGGACCGGATTAAGAGACACTTGCTCAGATTTAGAAGCAGCAGAGCCTCGCAGTTTATAGATCTGCTTTAATCAGACGTGTGGACACTGTGGATTAAACCGTCATGATTCAAACAAAGCAGCGCTACACTGTCCGACTGTAAACCTGCACATCAACCCTCCACTGTCCGACTGTAAACCTGCACATCAACCCTCCACTGTCCGACTGTAAACCTGCTCAGCTGCCTCATATCTGCAGGTAACAACAAATGTTCCTCTACGTGACCTACAATTCATATTTGATGCTGTTGTTCTCTAATTAGAGGATATTAAAGCCGAGCTGGCAGATGCCTTATTATCAGTCCAACAGGGAGCAGCTGATCATGGACACACACTCTCCTCACACTCATTATTCACACACACACACACACACACATACACTTAGACCTTCCTGATGAATCTTCTCTTGTGCAGAGGAAGTGTGTTTCTATACATCACACCAAATCCCACAGGAGCTCATAATACCGCTGTGGAATAAATCTGATTCTGTTATGATGAGCACAAACATTATTATACGCTGGTCTCAGATATGTAAATGTGAGCTTTCAAATGATCCGTTTACATTTTTTATTCAGGTGGAAATTAGGAAGCACATTAATCAGTGCTGGACTAACGATACATTACGATGATATGGTACTAACAATACAACACACTTTATTGTCCCTGTGGGGAAATGAGTCTCGGACTCAAGTGCTGCAAAGACTCCGCTTCCTCCACAGAACAAGCCGACATTAAATATGTGTAGATTTACGTTTTATTTCCTATTTACAATCATTTATTGAACGATGCTTGTGGAAACCAAAGGAAGCCTTTTCTTCATCAACTTTTCATTGCTAAGTTTTTGGTCTCATCACTTTAAACACACAGTCATTAAACTCCACCACCAGGAGGCTCTCAATCCAAATAATAACAAAAGACGACGTGGAGGCTGGCGAGGAATCATAGGAGTGATTCTCTCTGCTGCTCGATATCGGTGTCGGCAGCAAAACTCCCACATCAGTCGGGCTCTACTCTCAGCAAACACACCAAAGACCTCAGGAGTTCCTGGAGCTGCGTGACCTCGTTAGTTTGTTTGTAGTGATGTGAGAGTGACTCACACAGAGAAGCTAACGGATCGTAGAGGTAGACCAACCTGCGTCCTGTGAGCCTGGTGTGTTTGTAGAGAGAGATGTAACAGCTGTTAATGGTTCAAAAGTGAGGTGATCCAGCACTGCTACCACCCAACGTCCCTGACTCCCAGCCTCCACCATCAGACTGTGTCGTCCCCGCAACCACCGCTGCACGGCCTGCTCCGACCTCCACCTCAGCGGAGTGGAAGTGTGGACAACAGGAATGGCAGGAATACAAAGGAGAAATCCTTCCTGCTTATTATCACATCGCCTCCTGTCCCATTTTTATTAACGAGTAACGTCTTTAACCTGCTCTCTTTGTAAAGCGTCTCAAGATAACACTCGTTGTGAATCTGCGCTTTACAAATAATGACTGATTGAAAAAATCATCTTCCTGTATAAGATCTGTCTCTCTCTGCAGGGATTCTTCCTGTGATGATGTCACACACTTAGAATAACTACCGGAGCCTGTCAGGGACAAACCAACAACTTTTAGACAGTAAAAGT